GTAGTGGGGCAAGGACGTGGAGCTGGGATTTAAGGAGAGGAATGGGGATAGGGTACAGGGAGCAGGTGGTGGACTTCATGGAGGATATGGTGGTGAAGACAGAGGAGGTTCAAAGGTGTGGAAGAAGGGATGGGTAATTGTCAGAGTGTGGGGTGGGAGTAGGGAGAGGGTGGAAGTTTGGGGGGCAGTGGTAGCTGAGTGGATTCCCTCGATTTTGGACTCGAGGAAGTCCAGCATTTTCTCGCAGTGAGAGTCAGAGGAAAGAATCTGCGAGCCGTGGCAGGGAGGGCAGAGGAGCCGGTTGATGGTGGAGAACAGGAGCCTGGGGTTGCCCTTTGCCTCCAGGATTAACCTGGAATAGAAGGATGATTTGGCTGAGGTGAGAGCGGAGCAATAGGTTTTGATGAGGTCCAGCCAGATGTGGCGGTGGACAGTTAGGCCGGATTTGAGCCAGGTGCGTTCGGCAGCCCGCATGTGGAGAAGAGTAAGCACAGCGAGTGGGTTGGTGCGAGAGGTGGTCCAGAGGAGGAGGATATCAGAGGACTCCAGGGCAGCGGAGAGGGACTGCGGGGAAATCTTCTTACACGGGCAGTAGAAAACAGCGGTAGGTTTGGTGGCAGTGGGGAGAGGGATATGGGAGTTGAGGGAGAATAAATGGAGGTCAGAGATGACCTTGTCAATGATGGTGACATCTGAGGTGCTGAGGCCCTGGGTGATCACCAGGTCGAGTGGGTGACTGTGGATGTGGGTAGCAGAGTGGATGTGGAAGCTCAAGAGAATACCTTGAGGTATTGATTGGAAGATACAAGGGTCATCAGTTCCAGTAGTTGATTCTTGTCTATAACTGGAGGTTGTGGTTGACCTTTGCTTGGACACTGTCCTGAAGGACTGCACAGAGAAGGTACGAAGAGCACTCTGGTCGTGCTCATCCCTCTTTAAGGACAGCAAAGTCAGCAGATCAAGCTTATGGCATATAATAACAACAACCTATATGTGCCAAGCAATTCTCTTTTATGAATCTGAACTCCTGGGGATGCAACGGGGGTTCTTTCTCAGGCCCATTTACAATTCGAAGATTGGGCAGTGAGGTGGATTTGTGGGAAACACGTGAGGCGGCTGCCAACATTTGACAGGGCTCAAGCCTATCCTGACCTGTCACTATCAACTCCTCCCTCCAAAGGCTGCAGATCATCCAGAACTCTGCAGCCCATGTCCTCTCCCGCACTAGGCTCCGTGACCCTATCACTCCCCATCCTTGCCCAACTCCACTTGCTTCCCATCACACAGTGAATACAGTTCAAGATCCTGGTCCTCACCTTCAAAGCCCTCCATGGTCTAGCTCCCCACTACCTCTCCGACCTCCTAACCCTGTACCATCCTGTTCGCTCCCGCCGCTCAGTGGGCTCTGGCCTGCTTCACGACCCCTGCTTTTCTCACCCCACTATTGGCAGGCGGGCTTTCCGTCACTCTGGCCGCCCTCTGAAACTCCATCCCGCAGTCCCTCTGTCTCGCTCCCTCCTTTGCCACCTTCCAAGACCCATCTCAAAACGCTCCCCTTCGACTGAGCTTTTGATCTCCCTGCTTCCCCCCCCCCTGCCCTCCACCCTCCCCCACCCCGACCCCCAGTTCAGGTCCATAACTTGTCTGTCCAGCGCCTTGGGACGTAATTTTGTTGTTGTTGAGTACCCTGGAGGGGAAGTCACCTTCACAACGGGTGTATCTATTTGCCAAGACCCCCTTCACAGGGTCTTGTATTAAGCAGTTGGTGTTGAGCCATTATTCAGAATTAACAATTGAAACGATGTAAATTATTGTGTCTACCGATCCATTATCTGGATGTGAGCAATACTTGGAAATGTAGGGAGAGATATGAAGTATTAACTGTTAGTCGACAAACATAATTGGGACTAGTGCTGTATATGGTTAATGTTTAACCATATAGCTTGTTAACCAACAATTTCTGAGGTTCAAATTGCTTTTTAGCAAGCCAAAGTCACTTCACATATATTTTGCGGTGTTTCTTTCTAACAAATCAGAAAGCCTCAAATGAGACCAGCGATCAGAAGAATTTTTTTTTCTCAATCCAGAAGTGGGTCAGACTCCTAACAAAAGGATTGACTTACTAAAAACAATGGATCCATTATCTGGATGAGAGCAATACTTGAAAATATATGGATATGAAGTATTAACGGTTAGTCAAGAAGCATAACTGGGACCAGAACATTCTGAGTTTGAACCCTGGTGGTCAACTCGTGAAGTGAGTAAATACCATGTGTAAAAATATCCCCTTTGAGAGGCAGCTAATGTTTTGTTCACAAAGGGAGTTAAATTGAGACTTGCTTCAAATCTGATACGCATTGCTTTCTTTATTTGAGATCAAAACAATGTAAAAAAATGTATTTAGGCATTCAGAATTCAAACATTACAGTGTTAATCATTGGCTACATAACTGTGGTTAGGCTAACCTATAGCAGGTAATACGAGGCAAAAAAACATGAAAAATGACATTGATAAAGACCAATGACAATGCAATGTATTGTGGCAAAGTGTGAGGTAGTACAACCTTGGATGTAAGAATCTGAATAGGAAGTCCATGCTAAAGACAGCTGTCGGTCAGAGAGCTGGTGAGGAATCTCTGAGGCGTGGGCGACAACTGCTGGAAAGAATTACCTGGAGTCTGGGTTTATGAACACTTGTTCATATATCCATGGTTTGGAATCTAGAGAACTACTGCTGTTCAAGTTTCAGATGTTATACCCCTGTTCAAAAAACGAAAGCGGGATAAACCTGGTAAATACAAGCTAGTGGGAAATTTCTAGAGACCATAATCCAGGACAAAATTAATTTTCTCTTGGAAAAACATGGGTTAATAAAGGGCAGCATTGTATCTAACTTCATTGAGTTCTTTGATGAAGTAACGGAGAGGGTTGATGAAGGTAGTGCATTTGGTGTAGTGTGTATGGACTTTTAAAAGGGGTTTGATAAAGTGCCACATAATAGACTTGTTAGCAAAATTAAAGCCCTTGAGATTAAGGGAAAAGTGGCAGCATGGATCTGAAATTGGCTGGGAGACAGAAGGCAGAGGGTAGTGGTGAATGTTTTTTCAGACTGGAGGGAGTTATACAATGGTGTCCCCCAAGGGTTGGTATTAGGACGACTGCTCTTTTTAATATATTATTGACCTGGACATAGGTACAGAGCGCTAAATTTTAAAGTTCTCAGGTGACACAAAACTTGGAAATGTAGTAAACTGTGAGGAGGATAGTACCAGACTGCAGGAGGACATATACAGGCTGGTGAAATGGGCAGCCAAGTGGCCGATGGAATTTAATGCCGAGAAATATGAAGTGATGCATTTTGGGAGGAGGAATGAGGAGAGGCAATATAAGATAAATGGTACAATTTTAAAGGGCATGCAGGAACAGAGAGACCTGGGGGTTCATATACAGAAATCTTTGCAGGTGGCAGGACAAATTGACAAAGCAATTAAAAAAGCGTATGGGATCCTTGGCTTTATAAATGGTGGCATAGAGTATAAAAGCAAAGAAGTTATGTTTAACCTTTACAAATTACTGGTTAGGCCTCAGCTGGAAAATTGTTTCCAATTCTGGGCACCACACTTTAGGAGGGATGTCAGGGCCTTGGAGACAATGCAGAAGAGAATTACAAGAATGTACCAGGGATGAGGACTGCAATTATGTGGAAAGATTAGAGAGGCTGTGATTATTCTCCTGAGAGAAGAGAAGGTTGAGGGGAGATTTAATAGAGTTGTTCAAAATTATGAGGGGTTTTGATAGAGTAGCTCGTGAGAAACTATTTCTTCTGGTGGGTGGGTCACAGAGGACACAGATTTAAGATAATTGGCAAAAGAATCAGGGGGGAGACTAGGATAAAAACATGTTTTACCCAGAGAGTTGTTACGGTCTGGAATTCACTGCCTGAAAGGGTGGTTAAAGCAGATTTGATAATAGCTTTCAAAAGGGATTTGAATAGGTACTTAAAGGAAAAAATTGCAGGGCTTGGTTTAAGAGTGGGGAAGTGGGACCAATTGGTAGCTCTTTCAATCAGGGCAGGCAATGATGCACTAGGATGAACCTGGAATAATATAATGTCGATAAGACAAAAGGACTTAACTGTGATGTTAGGCTGAGTAAGCTAGTGTTATATTGGTTGGAGTTCCGGATGCTAATCATGATTTAATTGAAATGAAAATAATAAAGGATATTGACAAAGTAAATAGGAACAACTTCACTTAATTGTGGAATCCAGAACAAGACATAGTTATAAAACTATCTCATTGGATTTCAGCTCACAGCTTTTTCATTTTGTGTTCCAGCTACATTTTGGACAATCTTCATATTAACACAAATATAGGTGACTTCTGAGGATATTATAAAGATTGTGTGTTCCTTGATAGAGTCAAAGCTTGTACAGACGACCTGATATAAATTTTTCTGGCAATGTACATGAGGAATAAAAAATAACTGAGACTTGGTTTATACCGATTGCAAACTTCAATTACTTCTTGCATTTATATAGGCCTTTCACAAAAAAAGATCTCAGACATGATTGACAATTCTAGTGATGGATTTATCAAGCAAGAGATAAGAGGATTAAGGACCTACTCTAAGAGAAACATTTTTCAGGAGGTTGATAAAGGCAGAGAAACGGTAGCAAAGTAATTTTGGGAGAGAGTTATAATAATCCTTTCATTTGATACAGTACTGATAACATTAACATCCTTGAAGAGCTTCACAGACTAATTATTGACAAAAGTAGACTAATGCTGCAGTCAATACACGCTAAGGTCATATACATAGCCAAAAAGTGAATGAACAATTTATCAATTAATCAATCAATCTGAGATACTGAGAGATACTGAGTACAGCACAAAAAGAGGCCATTCGGCTCATCGAGTTTGTGCCGGCTCTTTGAAAAGAGCAATGTAATGTCAATCTCACTCCCCAGCCCTTTCCCCATAACCCTGCAAACCCGTCCTCCTCAAATACCCATCCACCGCGTTTTTAAAAATCTAAAGTTTGTGGATCACAACACTAGGGGAAATTCTCTTTTATCAGATATTTTTAATCATCTGAACAGGCAGATAAGACCTCACTTCATGCCCTAGCACCTCCCTGCTCACACCCCTTTCATCTACCTGGCCCTTCACTCCACCACCTTGGACCTTCTGTGTGCCTCTCAACCCCATCCGCTTCACTATTGTTGGCCGAATTTTCAGCCATTATCCCCTGAGCCCTTGGAATTCTCCGCCTCAATCCCTCAGCCTTTCCCCCTCTTTGCCTATTTTCAAATCACACCTGAAGACTTCCTCTTCAAACATGCCTATGGTCACTTCCTCTTTCTTCACAACTTTGGCATCAAATTATGCCAGTCTTAAGCACTCCGAGGAGTTCATGAAAGGCGCTATATAAATGCAAGTTGTTTGTTGTTGTTGCTGAGATACTGAGAACAATTGGTCCTGGCGAAATTGGAGTAATGATACCATCTGCGCAAACAATGCTCGAATATCTTCTGACCAATGCAGGAGGACATGTATATGCTATGACTCGTATGTTCTATGTTACAATTTTTATGCCAAATCTATTCTACTGTGTGCATTAGAATACTGTTAAAAATCTTGGTCTGAACATTAAATTCCCTTCTGTGCTCTGCAGAGTAATCCCCTGGAGTTCAACAATGTAAGTAGTAGCAGAATCAAAAGAAAGAGAGAGAAGATGACCATGAGTGTTACATATGAAGTGTGTGTTAGGGAACGAGGGGAAGGAAGCTCGGCAGGGATCATGTTTGTTAGATTCAACATGTAACCAAGTGTCCAGCCAGCATCATTTCCTTTAATCTGGAAAAAAGAAAGCGACTCATTAGTGACATATCTATGAAGAGATGGAATCTGCAAGTAACATAGAAATAGATGTATAATGTATAGTGTCTATCCAGTACCTAGATGGGGTTGTAACTTGGTTGTGCCAATTTTTTCCTTGGTGTGGTCAAAATCCAAAATTGGCTCAGTATTAATAATAAAAATATACACATTGGATTTGATGTAGTGTTTTTCACTTTCTGAACTTCAATGTAAATGTAAGTAAAGTAACTGTATTTTGTAGACTAATGTGCAATGTCATGTATATGGTAGAATACCACATATCCATACTCTGCCAGTGTGAAATGCAGACTTCAATGGAAAAATGTAATGCTATATATAATTTTTTTTATTGTATTTATGTGTGCAAGGTTCCCAAGAATACTATTTTTTCTGCCTATTCCGACTATGATCCAGCAATGCAGTTTAGGGATAGAAGATAGACGAGAGAGAAAGTCACACACAATGTATGCTAGAACTTTCAATGGCAAGCTTCCTGCGGTTTTAGCTGATTAAACTTCAACCGTACCCCAAGGCGCATTCTGGGGTCCCTGTAATGATTCTCAATCTGGTGTAATAGTAATTATTTTATTCTCAGCTCACAACAATCCAATACCCCAACCATAAACAACCCACACCTTGGTTCCCTTGCTCTGATTCTTTTGTACTTCCTGCCAATCTGTGCCTAATGCTCTCGAATCGAGTAAGCAGAATGTGCCCTCTAGGGAGAAGGTTCACATTCCATTCCAAACATGGGAATTTCCATGTGTAGATGGCATACAAGGAACTCTGTCTTGGTTAGATTCTCTTAAGGCATGATAATGGGCTTCTGCATGTGTTTAACACCACACTGTAAAGGTGATTGATTGTGTATTTTGTGGGTGAAATGCAGCAGCCAATTTACGCACCAATGATCATGGAGTGAGTGACCAACTTTACTTGGGGGATTGTTAGCCAGAGAAACTCCTTTCACTTTTCAAATAGTACCATAGGATCTTAAACATCCACCAGAACAGGCAGACTAGACCTCAGTCTCGCCCAAGGTTGGCACCTTCAACAATACATTGGAATGTTAACTAGATGATATGAGTTCCAAGTTAATTTGGGGCTTGAATTCGCAATCTTCGGACTTGGATGTGAAAGTGCTACCACTAAGCTAGGCTGATGCTATCAAGCTGATGAATGGATACTGATGGATGTATCAAGAAAACAGCTGTCGGAAACCTTGATTCTCTTAAGGTAACTGGGTATATTTTACAGGTAATGGGAGACATCACCATCAACTGAGGAAGCCTCTATAAAGTCCCAAGAATAAATCTGTAGTGGATATTTTGCAGATAGAGTAAAATTACCTTTCTCATAAATTGAATTTTGTTCAAATTGTCGGAGGTAAAATTGTATCCTTCAGTCAAAAGTATCAAAATGTAGTTTGCAGAAAAACAATATTCACTCAGGTATTTCACACGAGTCTTTGGGAAGTTATCTTTAACCTGTGAAAAATAAAATGTTAGAAAAGCAAATTGATCTACCCTACTTCTGTAATCTGAATCCCATTCTTATCTGTTTCTCATTTTACACCTTAATAAGGTGGCAGAGGAAGGGAGAACAGCTCAATATTGTCTTTCATGTTGGAACCAATGACACCGGAAAAGGTACTTTTCAGGAGTTAAAGAGAGGAATTGAAGAGAAGGACTCAAGGAGGAATTATAATGATCTGGATTCTGATGTAAAATACACAATATTTAAAGATGATAAAAAATAGGGAGTGTAACTAACAGTGACAAAGAATGTAAGCAATTAACTTATTTGTTTACAAAAAATTTCACAGACTAGAGGTATAGACTGCAGGAGTAGATTGGGTAGAAGATATGGCGGATGGAATTGAATGCAGAAAAATCTGAGATTGTACACTTTGATAGGAAATAAGAACAATCATATTCTCAATGGTAAAATTTAAGAGGAGTAAAGAACAGAGAGACTTAGGTGTTAACATACATAAATCTTTAAAGGTGGGAACGCAGGTGGACATAAAATTAAAATGTCTACCAAAATGGGAGAACATATTTGATAAATGAATGGGTATTTGTGTTCCTATATTCCCAGCTGAAAAGGTGGCTCATGCTGAAAGACATGCATTGTAGACCAGTTACATACCTCATTCCATGATCTCGCGCAGAAATTATCTATTGTATCTTTCATCTGTTTCAGAGGCTCTTTGCCTGTCAGGTTTAAAAAATTCATCACAAAATAAAAAGCAGAAAATGCCTGTGGGAGAGAGAAAGGAAGAAATTAATTGTGACAGTTTTATTTGCAGGATAATGTTATCAGTGAAACCCATAGATTGAGAGCACATTCTATTTCTAGATTCTGGGAAATTTCAATGTGTAGATGACAAATGTACGTGGAAGACTGTCTGGTTTGGATAGTCTTAATAATGCCAGTGACTTTCAGATTATGCGGACAACTGACTGACCAAAATAAACCTGCCAAGATTGTACACAGGTTCTGTGAGCTGAGTAAGCAGCCAGGCGGCAACAACAACAAATTACATTCGTGAAGTGCCGTTCATGTTGGGAGGACGTCCCAATGTCAGGGAGCAGGACTCGAGCATGGGGGAGCAGGGTTGGGGTGAGGGAGGGCAGAGAGGTAGAAGAGGTAGAAGGGCGGCTGAAGGCACAGTCGAAAAGGAGAGTCTTGAGTCATGCCTTGAAGAAGGCAAGGAAGGGAGCAAGGCGAAGGGATTGTGGGATGGAGTTCTAAAGGGTGGAGGCAGAGGGGCTGAAAGCTCGGCCATTGATGGTAGGGTGGGTCGGGCAGGAGACATGGAGTGGGGGTGATGGGGTCCCGGAGCCTGGTGCGGGAGAGGTCACGAGCTGCAAAGTTCTGGATGATCTGCAGCTTGTGAAGGGAATAATTGGGGAGGCCGACGAGGGAGTTTCTGTAGTCGAGCTTTGAGGTGACGAATGCATGTATGAGGGCTTCAGCAGCCTGAGGGGTGAGGCAGTAGCGGAGTTGGGCAATGTTGCGGAGGTGGGGGTGGCAGAACGGGTCATGGTATGGATATGGGGGAGAAAGGACAGTTGAGGGTCGAACAAGATGGACAGTTGAGGCTCGAACAAGATACCCAGTTTCCTGACCGGCTTGGCGAGGTGGAGAGTGTATCCATGCAATTATAAAGTCTGAGCCAGAGTTGAGGGGGTGCTGATGAGAACCAAGGCTTAATGGCTTTGGTTGTGACAACATTCAGATAAACAAGAATGTGCATTTATGTAGCGCCCTTCACGCAGGGTAGTGTTTGGAGTGCTTAACAATGGCGGAGCTTGACACGGAACTGAGGAGAAATGGAGGTGACCGTAGGCATGGTCGAAGAGGGAGGTCCTCTTTTGTGATCTGAAGATGGACAAAGAGGGGCAAGGCAAGGATTGAGAGACGGAGTTCCAGAATTGCAAGGCACAGTGGCTAAAAGTACAGCCTCTGATGGTGGAGTAGAGGGGACGAGGGACATGCAGAAGGCTGGAGTCAGTTGATTGAAGAGGGTAGGTGGGGGAGTGGGGTGTCAGCAAGATTGAAAGATAGGGAGGTTATGCTAGGACATGAACTGATTTGTAGGTGAATATGAGGATCTTGACGTCAATCTTTTCTGCAATAGAGAGTCAATGGACCATGGCAAGGCAAGACCCTGGGATGATAAGGGTGTGGAATTTGGTTCGGATGAGGGCATGTATTAGTGGAGTTTTGGATCAACTGAATTTTGTGAATGGTGGAGCTGCAGGGACCAGCAAGGAGGGCATTAACGAAATCAACATCAACAAACATCCAAGACTTGATGTCTGATAGGTATTTCAGTTGGAAATCAAATTTCAAAGTTGAAAGTTTGCTTAGCCATAGTGTAGCATTACCTCTAAAAGGCCATATGGATATAAAAAAGTACCCATAGTACTTACTACAAATTCTCCTTGCACTTGAGGCTGGTAAACACAATTGAATGGGCAGCTTGTCAGAGTATAGTCAGTGGAACTGAAGAGGGCTCGGACATGTTTTCTGCATTCTTCTGCGTTCCCTTCTCCAATGACTTTGATTATGTCTTGTGTTGTGTTGGGCAATCCAAGTATGCATGGGGTATTATAGAAGGCAGTCACATTGAGGTTTCTAGTGTATTCTTTGTTGAAACATGGGCTAGTAATAGTTCCACTTACTGACTCCTGAATCAAAAAAAGGAAAAATATTCTAGCGAAGTGTGGAGCTCACAATACAATGTAACTGGTATTTTTGCACCAAATGTTTCCATGTGTATTTTGTCATTGTACTTTGTGTGTTATCATCAGTGAAACAACTGAATAAGAAACGAGCAACAGTGCATTAGGATATTGGATTACAAGTTGTATGAAACTGTATCCAACGATATTTTGTGTATTTTGTACACTTTGGCTGTGTCAAAGTGTCTGCCAAGGTATAATCAACAAGCGGCTACCCTCTGATGTCAGAATATATCATCACAGAGTGGCTACACTCCAATGCCAATGATATCAGTGAGTAGCGTTCCTCTTATGTTGGGGTACAACAGTGAGTGACTACCCTTTGGGGGTAATCAGAACATTGCCCTAGTACACAACAACAACAACAACAAGATTCCATTTATAAAGCGCCTTTCACGTCAGGAGGACGTCCCAAGGCGCTGCACAGTTGGGTCATGACCCGAGCATTGGGGAAATGGTCAGGGTGAGGGGAGGGGAGGGAGGGATCGAGGAGGGGGGAAATGGTCAGGGTGAGGGGAGGGAAGGGAGGGAGCGAGGAGGGGGAAGAGAGTCGAGAGGGGAGCTGAAGGCTTGGTCAAAGAGAAAGGATTTGAGACCGGCCTTGAAGGAGGAGAGGGAGGAAGCGGCGAAGGCACTGGGGGATAGAGTTCCAGAGCCTCGGGGCTGAGAGGCTGAAGGCCCGACCACCGATGGTAGGGCGGTTGGGGCGGGGGACGTGGAGCAGACCGGAGCCGGAGGAACGGAGGGTACGGGCAGGTAGGTAGGGGGATAGTAGGTTGGAGAGGTAGGAGGGAGCGAGGCCGTGGATGGCCTTGTAGGTGAGGATGAGGATCTTGAAATCAATCCTCTGGGGGATGGGGAGCCAGTGGAGGCGAGCGAGGGTGGGAGTGATGTGGTCGCGGTGTCTGGTGCGGGACAGTACACGAGCTGCAGAGTTCTGAATGACCTGCAGCTTGTGGAGGGAGGTGGCGGGAAGGCCGGTGAGGAGAGAGTTCCCATAGTCCAGCCTTGAGGTGACAAAGGCGTGAACCAGGGTTTCAGCAGCGTGAGGGGTGAGGTAATGCCGTAGTCTGGCGATGTTCCGGAGGTGATGGAAGGCGGTGCCAGTTATGGTGCGGATGTGAGGGAGAAAGGACAGCTCAGGGTCGAACAAAACGCCGAGGTTCCTGACTGGCTTTGAGAGGTGGAGAGTGCAGTCTTGGATGCTGATGGTGTCGGCGCCTGAGGTGCGGAGGCGCTGACGTGAGCCAATCAGGAGGGCCTCGGTTTTTCGCACGTTGAGCTGAAGAAAGTTGTCTCTCGTCCAGGACTCGATGTCGGACAGACAGCTGTCAGGACATCGGGGGTCGTGGAGTTGAGAGTAGAGGAGGAAAGGTAGAGTTGGGTGTCATCCGCATACATGTGGAAGTTAACTCCATGTCTGCGGATGATGTCACCAAGGGGGAACATGTAGAATTACACAGATTGGATGGGTTCAGGGGCACAGCTAGGAATAGAAATCTGCGTGGGCACCAACTTAGGTGGGCAGGGAATGACCAAACTTCCATTCCTAGCTATGTCACCGTATCATATTTCCCACTACGGGTCTTTTCCCGTTGCTCTCTGTGCTGCCTCATACCTCCTACTGCAGCTCTTTTCACATCGCTTGGTGTGGAGAGCGATGGGAAGAGAGCCGTAATGGAAGTTATGAGTCAGCACAGAGCGCGACAGCTGGGTCTTTGCACCTTGTAGGTTTTGTAGATTTGTATATTAAATACACAGGAACTCTCTTTCATGTATTTAAACGAATATAACTTGCACCTCATGATGTCTCTACTCCCTTCGTATATAAATGCATATCAGTTAAATACTGGCAAATTGCACATGCAACTGTACAAGGACCAATGGCTTGTTTACATTTTTAAAATAACTAGTTATTGCTTAATTTCTGCAAGATGGCATTGAGTATGGAATATTCAAAAATTTCCAGTGTTTTTTGACATACACATGCAAAGTCTTTGTTGGAGTGATTCCACTATGACTACGCTGTTGCTGCATATGTCACATCGTATGTGATTGAATATTCACAGGTCTGGTGTAACGTTTTTGACTGGTGTGGCTCACCTATTCTTCATGAGCCACAAATCTAGATTCAACAACGCTGGTCTGCATGATTGAAGAGTAAGACAACGTAACCTTAACTAACTATTATGCCCACTGACAGACTACATGGGCAGGGAGACATTATCCTGATATTGTTTTGCTTACTTTTCGTTGTGCTAGTAGTAGTTTAAGGGCTTGATCTTTTCCATAGCACAGGAAACTGTGTGTGTAAACAGTGTAGCTCGTCCCATACAGACGGAAATACAAAGTACTTTCTTCAGGTTCAACATCTCCTTCAGGAACAAATGTAATCTGTGTGGAAGCACCACCGAGGTCCAATGCCCCAAATGTTTCAGTGTCTTTTCCCCCAGATAACTGTGTAATCCAGCCACTATCCTGATGAGAACAGAGGAAATGGAAGAAAAAGCGATGGGGACATATTAAACATGAATTAACTTTTGAATGTCAATTTGTATCACTCTTTGAAATAACAGATAAAGATAACATTTTAATGGTAATGATTATTCTCTGGGGGTGGGTGGGGGGAAGGGCAGTGGTGTCTCTTTGGGTCTGAACTGGCTCTGGGGCAGGGATTCTTCCCATTCAGCTCCTGTTAATCCTGAAGTCAAAGCCCTAACAGCGGGGTTGTCCTAGCTGGACAAGCAGTGGGAAAGCTTGCCAAACTGTGCTTTCGATCAAAAGCTATGTGGTTGTAGCTGGTTAGACTCCAGGAGACCCAGTGTACACTCTGAGGTCCCCAAACCTTGGTTCTCGCCATTGTGTGCCTAATATTCCTAGAAATTAGGAAAGCAGGACTAATTTCTCTGAGGGGAGAGTGCACGTTCCATTTCAATACCCAGGAATTTTCATGCATAGTTGGGATGCATGGAGTTTTGTTTGGTTTGGATATTCTTATGGATGGTGATTGGTTTCTGCATGTATCAACAGACAACACTGTCTTTACTCCACAAATGTGTTGCAAGGCCAGCCTGACTAAATCAGCCATCTCATGGGCAGCTTCGTTTGGAAGCCTAAGTCTCCTTAGAGGATCTGCCATTCTCTGTCTGACAACAACAACAACATGCATTTATAATAGCGTCCTTCACGTAGGGTAGGTAGTCTCTCGGAGTGCTTAAAAGAGGTGGAGCCGGAGGAAGGGGGATGTGACCGTAAACATGGCTGAAGAGGAAGGTCTTCAGGCGTAATCTGAAAATGGTGAAGGAGGGGGCAAGATTGAGGGAGAGATGGCTGTTTGTTGGACATTACTGTGCACAAATTGGCTGCTGTGCTTGCCTTATTAGTCATTAAACTATACAGTAAACTCTGTCTCACTTTGAAATGTTTCAATGGTGCTATATCAAATGCAAACATTATTCTATAGAAGAGGGATTGTACTATGTAATCTCCTCTCAAATCGATTTCTTCACCAAATAGTCATTAATTATTTCCTGAATTTGCTCACACCATTGCATCCCTGTACAGTCTATACTACAAAATCTCATTATTTTAGATGAAGTAATTAAATCTAACCTTCAGGAAGTTGCCCAACAAATAGTTGATGGTAATCCAGCCATACCCGCCCTCCTCCTGTCCTCTTATAATCCGTGCTCCTTGGAAATTAAATGGATATAATCTAATGAATTTTTCCACAGAGTTTAGAAGCCTCTGAGATTGTTGTTCATCTTGTAACCTGTACATAAGGAATAGAATACATTATAAAATGAAAAACTTGAAAGTGGGACAGTTATAATTTTTTGCTTGGGAAGGGTAATTCTCCATATTTATATCTCTGTATCATGAGCACCTTGGGCTGAGTTCCAATGAATAGCCTGACATCAATAATTGGAAAATACTATTTTCCTATTTAAGCAACAAGGTCTTACCTGATGAACCTCATAGGCTTTTTTGTGACACAATAGACATCGTGAAGCAATATGAGGTGGTGTTCTTAAGACTTCCAAAAGGAGAGAGTGCAGCATAGAATTACTAGGATGTTACCAGTAATGAGTGAAAAAGCTATCAAGAAAGATTGGACAAGTTAGAGCTAATCTCTTTGGTGAGGATAATATTGAGAAGGGACCTGAATGAGGTATTTAAATTTATGAAAGGATTCAATAAAGTGAACATCAATAGGCTTCCATTTGTTGCTGATTCCAAAACAAGGAGACATAAACATACGATATAGAGAGTTGTTGGAATGGAATGCCCTGCCACGTTAGGTGGTAGATGTGAAGTCTACTTGTGGTTTCAAGAGCAAAATAGACGGGTATATCAAAGTTGGAGGGTTGAAGGGGGACTTAGATAAGGCAGGACAGTGAGATTGAAAGATTAGCTTGCTCTGAGAGCCAGTGCAGACTTGATGGGCTGAATGGCTTCCTTCTATGATGTGCATTTCTATTATTTTATGAGAAGATCTAAAAGAGGTAGCTCATGAGATCGTGGAGGCCTGTGTCTGATCTTCCAAAATTCTTTGGATTCTGGAACGGTTCCCATTGATTAGAAAGTCACAAACGTCACACCACAATTTAAGAAGGGTGGGAGAGAGAAGATGGGGAACTATAAACCAGTAAGTTAGTCTGACATCGGTGGTAGGGAAAATTCTAGAATCCTTAATTAAGGATGTAGTAGTGGGATACTTAGAGGATCACAATATGATTAGACAGAGTCAACATGGCTTTACAAAAGGGAAGTCATGCTTAACAAGTCTTTTAGTTTTTTTGATGACATATCAAGTAGATTAGATAGGGGGGGGATCAATGGATGTAGCATATTTAGATTTCCAAAAGGCATTTGATAAGGTGCCGCATAAAAGGTTGATCCACAAGATGAGGGCCCATGGAATTAAGGGGAATATATTAGCATGGATTGAAGAATGGCTAATGGGAAGAAAACAAAGAGTAGGTAAACGGGTCCTTCTCAGATTGGTGGGATGTGACTAGTGGTGTGCCACATGGATCATGTATAATCTACATCAACGATCTAGATGAGGACATCGAACTTAATATATCCAAATTTGCGGATGACACTAAAGTAGGAGGGAGAGTAAACACCGAGGATGACATTAAAAAAATGCAACGAGATATAGATAGGCAAGGTGAGTGGGCAAATAGGTGGCAGATGAAATATAATGTAGGGAAGTGGGAAGTCATCCACATAGGTGGCAAAAACAGTAGAGCAGATTATTTTTTAGAAGGGGAGAGGCTAGATTATGTTAGCATTCAGAGGGACTTGGGTGTCCTTGTATACTAGTCACAAAAAGTTAGTTTGGAGCTACAGCAAGCGATTAGGAAGGCTAACGGTATGTTGGCATTTGTTACAAAAGGGTTAGAATATAAGAGTAGGGAAGTCTTGCTACAACTGTATAGGGCCCTGGTGAGACCGCACCAAGAGTATTGTGTACAGCTTTGGTCTCCTTATTTAAAAAAGGATGTACTCGCCTTGGAGGGGTTACAATGTAGATTCACTAAGTTGGTACCTGAGATGAAGGGGATGAGTTATGAGGATAGGTTGAGCAATTTAGGCCTATATTCTCTAGAATATAGAAGAATGAGAGGTGATCTTATAGAAACCTATAAGATTATTAAGGGGCACGACAGAATAGATAGTGGGAGACTTTTTCCCCTGGTTGGAGAAACCATAACCAGGGGTCACAGTCTTAAAATTAGGGGTAAGCCCTTTTGCACTGAGTTGATGAAAAACTTCTTCACTCAGAGGGTAGTGAATTTATGGAATTCTCTACCCCAAAGGGCTGCAGATGCTCAGTCCTTGAACATATTCAAGACTGAGATTGATAGATTTGTGGATTAAGGGATATGGGGATAAGGCGAGTAGGTGGAGTTAGAATAGATCAGCCATGATCTTATTGAATGGTGGGGCAGGCTCGAGGGGCCGAATGGCCTACTCCTGCTCCTAATTCTTATGTTCTTATGTAACAGGGATTTAAGGAAGAATTTATTTGTATGGATGGTGGTAAGAATATGGAACTCATTCCTCGAAGATGTGATTGGAGTAGAAAGTATCAATATATTTGGGAGGAAACTTGATGTGTATATGGATGAGGGGATTACATTTGCTACCTCTGGCTACCAAATATTCATCTTCCTCCTAAAATTTCAGTATGGCATCTATAACCTTTTGGGATAATCAGTTGCAATCTGTTCGAATCTGTAAGGCATTGCCTGAAAGGGCGGTCGAGGCCGATTCGATAACTACTTTTAAAAATGCGGTGGACGGGTATTTGAGGAAGACAGGTTTGCAGGGTTATGGGGAAAGGGCTGGGGAGTGAAATTAACATTAATTGCTCTATTCAAAGAGCCGCACAGACTCGATGGGCCGAATGGCCTCTTTTTGTGCTGTATAATTCTATGATTCTGTGATTCTATGATTTCCACAATCCTTTCCTATCTGTGACTTCATTCACACTTTTCATGTTGAGCTGTGGTGCCCACCAGCAAGCTCACAGGGAGTTCCTGGTAGCTCCCATCTACCTAGTGAGGTCTCAAACCCTTTCAGATGTGGTGGTGGGTTATGGGGTGCCATGGTAGGTGGGGTCTCCTTGAAGCTGAACTGGCTCCAAGATGATCTTTGCCATCAGAATTGAACCAACCCTCTGCAGCAGCTTTGGTAGTCCAGTTCCTGAACGAGGCGAGCCTACGGTTCAGGAGACTTGCAAGATGACAGCCCCTCCAGCCTGGCTTATTGGCAGGAATTAGAAGGGACAGGGATCCATCCCACTTAACTGTTAACTCTGCATGCCTTAGCCCTAGCGGCTAGGTGGACAAGCAGTGGCAAAGCTTACCAGACATTGCTTTGAATGGCAAGCTCTGCGGATTTAGCTGGTTGGATTCCAGCTGTACCCCAATGGCTACTCTGGGGTCCCCAAACCTTGACTCTTGCCAACCTGCTCTCTGGAATTAAGTAAGCAGGAGACTTGAGTGACATCTGTTAGAAGCATTTTTCTAGATAATTCCCACAAATAATCATTTCAAATGGATCCAAGTGTCAACTACATTTAATTTATAAATTTTGATTATTTTATTGGAACCCCTGACTCCAAAAGGTTCAATCCAATCTAGGGGTGTGGCCTCCACCAAAATGCTTTATTGAATTGATTCTTGCATTTAATTAGTACCATATTGTGAAAACATCTCAGAGCACTTCACAGGCAGTTGCTGTTACGTGGAGTGACTATTTCTAGGCAAATACCACAGCCATCCTGCACAGCAGGTGTTGTTCACTCTGACCTCAGAAGGCGCATGCCAGCAGTAGCACCCAGATACAAAGGTGTTTCAGTGTGCTGGTGTTCTGGAATGATCTCTTTTGCCTTATCTAGGCACTGATTCAGAGCGAGGCCAGCCTTTGTAACTTCCTTAGAATAACTGGAAATTCCTGGACCTGGAAAGAGGTAAAGAAAATGTAGTGAGATAGCAGTGCTCTTCCGTGTGGCATAATGTTCCAACTTAAATGTAAAAATGTCTGCTATTCAAGTGGATCTCTTGCACTATTTGAAAAGAGAAGGGAGTTTTGCTGTGGGTCGTGCTATCAATCCCTTGAATAAAATTAGTCATTATTCATGGCTGTTTTTGGGACATTGCTATGTGTAAATTGACTGCCACATTTACCCACAAATCCAGTCACTCCATTTTACAATAAATCCTTCCATGGCCTACCCTCACCCTACCTCTGTGCCCTCAAAACCTACCGACTTTGCTGCTTCCTGGCTTGCTTCATGTCCTCCACCCCAATTGGGCATTCAGCCTATCGGTCCCTATTCCCTGAAACTCTGACACAAGAGTCTCTGTGAATGTTTCCCTCACATTGCACAAGGTCTGTCGTAGGACCTGTACTTTTTGATCACGCTTTCAATCATTTTCCCCCACCCCCTAGGCAAAACCCCCCAGCTTGGATGCCAAACAAGTATTGTTAAGCATCTTGGGACGTCCTGCCGACATGAAATGCTCCACATAAATGTAAATTTATATTGTATTGAGGTTAAATCTTGCAGCAATGTCCAGACTCTGTCCTAATTGACCGTAAAGCCTTTTGATTGTCTCAATGGAGACATGATATCAGAGTAATGAGATGTATTTTTTCATTCCCCTGTGGGAAATGTATTCAGGTGAAGTTAGTTCAGTGAGATGTGAACTTCTGGCCATCTTGTGGTAAGGCAAACAATTAATTCAGGGACTTTTTTGATCTTTAATGTCATGAAACTCGTACCTTCCACTTTACAGGCTTCCAGTTGCTGAACCTTGCCAGTGTCATTCTGCTTCTCAGCAGGCCACTGGTAGATGTACAAAGCGGTATGAGAGGAACCAGCATCCAGAACGATGCCATACTGTTGGAGAAACAATTGAACATGACATTATTCAGACCAAAGAGATATTGATTTGTACTGTTAGAATTTTGCACCATAAAACAGCAGTTTCAATTCAAAGAGTATACATTATAGAAAACAAGATAATTCATCAATTAAAATTATTCTGACGTATTCATGGATTGAATTTATATTGTTATTGATGAGTACAACTCAAATTAGACCTAGAATGGAAAAACATATCTCTGCTTACCTTAGAACTGTGTAGGGATGTATTGTAAATATATTTGTGCCTTTAAAAGCAACTCCCAAAAGTGAATTTTACATTTCCTTTTTTTTAAAAACTACCAACTTTTCAGGATTCTCTCTTAACCACAAAATGGGTAGTGATGTTATGCGAGTGAGACTGCTGCAGTCAGATAGTGGAAACAGCAGGCAAAGGGTTTCTATCCTAATATAAAGTTATTAACCAGATATTTCCTGGGATTCTGGGTAGGCTCAAGGGGTTTAAAACCAACAAAGTCCCTGGGGTGTATGAGAGAATGCAAGAATGGAAAATGCTATGAGGGAGCAATAAATAATAATAATAATTCTTGCATTTAACATAGTGCCTTATCATGTTGTTGCGACGTCTCAAATAAGGCAAACAGGATGCTGGGCTATATTGTTAAATCGGTTCAGTTTAGATCCCCAGAAGTCATACTTGGGAAGTATAGGTCTCTGTGTTTGAATACTGTATACAGTTAGGGACATTTGAGACAATAAGGGGTGGCCCAAGCCCTAAAGGCAATGCAAAGGAGAGCGAAAGGATGATCTCAGTGTTAAAGGAATGAGCTATGAACAACGATTAGACAAGCTTGGGTTCTTCAGTCTTGAGAGAAGACGACTAAGAGGGAACCTCTTAGACGTATATAACATTTTAAATGGGTTTGAACAAGTAAATCTTGATCAATACTTCAGGGTGCACCAAGACAGTAGAACAAGAGGACGTAGGGTTACAGTTGAAAAGGGCAATTTCAGGAAAGATACTGGAAGTTTTTCTTCCTTCCACGGTTAAATGATTTTGTTGTCCTGTCCACACTCCATCAAATGTCTTTGAACTTAACAAAACATTCAGTGGAGTTAAATCAGGTTTCAGAAGACTTATTCAATTCAAGGTACAAAAGAACCTGGCTATTATCTTTGGAGTAATATGCTTGACAGCCTTAACTTTCAATTAATTTCACCTGAACATGAGAGGTATAGAACATAATATTCTTCTAAACATTCTCCAAATCAAAAAATAAATAAGTTTAAGTTAAATTAAGACAGGCTTGAGTTATCAGGAATTTACTGTACCTATTTCAATATTTACCTTCAGTTTTTGTGGAAGTTGCTTGTTCTGTACTACAGCTATAGCCACTAATGCGACTATTCCAATAACCATCAGGAAAGCAATGAGGAGGATTACCGGCCTGTGCCATGGATTCTTTTGTTTCACTCCTACAATTAGAGGAGAAGCTTAGCATCTTAATTAAATGACATAAGATTCAGAGAAAGGGTATTAGAGAAAGAGTGGGAAATTTAGTTTAAGAATAGCTGATTTCTTGTAGGAACACAAACAGCATAAAAAATGAGCCGACTGGCCTCCTACTGCATATGCCATTTATAATTTTAGCTGTAAATACTCTGAAGTACTCAGAACATAGATTTATTTTCAGGAGACATACTGGAACCATTAAATATTTTGTAGGCCTGCAAAGGTCTTTGAACTTAAAACATTCAGTGAAGTTCAAAGACTTATTCAATTTGAGATAGACCTCTGTCTTCTTGTTTCTTAGATTAATCCCTATCTCTTTGCTCATCATCATTTGATTTCGGCTTCAGTTTACTAAATCCCTTTTGTTAGAAAGTACTTTGTTTAATTTTAGCATCTTGTTTCTAAAATAGAAATTGAATTGAGTTTGCAAAACATTTGTGACCGGGCAGAGGGGACGTAATGTTTTTCCAGTCAGTGTTTGCTCCTCTAAAAAGCTATCCATTTCTGACCCTAATTCCCCATTCTTTCCCTGTTTTAAATTCATACATCATGAAAATCTAATTTGTAGGTACAGAAAACAGTCAGAAAGCAGAAAGGCAAATACTGACACTTATTAAGTGAGGTCTGCAATCAAAAAATAAGAATGTGCTCCTCCAGTTATATAAAGCCCTAGCAAATCTCCATTCAGAGTATTGTGTTCAGTTTGGGGCACCCGTTCCATTGATTTTATTGATCATGTGACACCAGATTAAGTATATTTAGTATTATTTTGGGGTAATAATCCCTCCCCCAAAATAATAATTTGGTCACTCAATCCACGATTGTTTGTGGGACACTGCTGTGTGTAATTGGCTGCCATGTTTCGCCTACAAAATACAAAGTTCACTTTATAGTATATTCTGTGAAGTGCTTTGAGACGTCTCAATGACGAGATAAGGTGCTGTATCAAATGCAAAGATTATTATTTATTATGTAGTATCTAGTAAAATGTAGGGCCCCAAACTGAACCTTTTCAGGGGGCCCCGCCAGGCAAACACCGCCCCTGCTTGTAGTTAGCACATCAACTGTTCTGAATTGGCAAGAGCTTCGGAGTAATCCTAATCATGCTTTTACTGTTGCTATGAAAATAAGTGCAAGAGGCTGATAAGAAAACTGAGGAAATTTTACTGGCTATTATCATAGAATCTTAGAATGAGACCATTCGGCCCATCGTGCCTGTGCCGGCTCTTTGAAAGAGCTATCCAATTAGTCCCACTCCACCGCTCTTTCCTCATAGCCTTGCAATTTTTTTCTTCTCAAGTAAATATTCAATTCCCTTTTGAAAGTTATTATTGAATCTGCTTCCACCATCCTTTCAGGCCGTGCATTCCAGATCGTGATAACAACACCTATCAAATCTCCCCTTAACCTTCTCTGCTCTAAGGAGAACAAACTCAACTTCTGTAGTCTCTCCACACAAGGGATATTAGTTCTGATGAAGGGTCGTGGACCCGAAACATTGACTCACTTTCCTTTCTCCATAGATGCTGCCTGACCTACTGAGTGGTCCCGGCGGCTTCTGTTTTTGTTTCAGATTTCCAGCATCTGCAGTATTTTGCGTTTTGTTTAAGGGAGAGCCTATTGGAGTGAGCTGCGACCAGAGTGAGGCGACCAGAGTGAGAAGAAATTAGGTGAGATTGGAAATTAGGTGCAGAGGGGGAAGAAGATGCGAAGCGAACTACATATTTAATTAATAAAATATAAGTTGAAATGACAGCACAGGCTGTGTGTCAGGAATGCTACATGTGGGAGTTTGTGGATTGTGAAACTGTCCTGGACTATCACTTCTGCAGGAAATGGCTCTGACTTGACACACTCCGGCTCAGAATCATTGAGCTGGAGTGCGAGAAATAAGGAAGGGGGAGGAATTTCTGGATAGGTTGGCCTGAACTCAGTCACACCCCATAGGAAAGCACGGGTACAGAAAGGCCGGGGTGGAGGAGGGGGGGAGAGACGGTGCTACTGTCCGTGAGCAGAGTAGTGGGAATTTAGGAGAGGAAGAATAGGAGGTCCCGCAGACACTTGTCTTGTCCAACAGGTATGCAGGTATGAGGTACTTGATTCCTGTGGGCACAAACAGAATGACTGTGGGGAGGACAGCCACAATGCAGAACGAGTACAGCTACAATTACAGCTACTCCCACTGCCCTTTTTCCCATCTGTCCTTTCTAAATACATTATACCCTACAATGTTTAATTGCCAGTCCTGTTCTTTCTGTAGCCACGTTTCAGTAATCCCAATTATATCTGGTTCCTCACCACAAATTATTCCCTCCAGTTCTCCTGTTTTATTTCGGATGCTGTGTATTTTGCCTCAGTATTCACCAGGGAGACCAATCAGATGGACATGACAGTAGAAGAGATCAAAAATAATATAAATACATTTAAGATATAAAGGGGTGATATAATCGAAAAACTAACAAAACTCAGACAGGATAAAACCCCTGGTCCAGATGGATTGCATCCACATGTATTAAAAGAATCGAGGGAAGAGATAGCAGAGGCACTATTACACATATATAATAACTCATTAGAAAAGGGAGTAGTGTCAGAGGACTGGAGCATAGCTAATGTTATACCCATATTTAAAAAGGGAGATCGAACAAGCCCAGGGAACTACAGACCTGTCAGCTTAACATCGGGGGTAGGAAAGATAATGGAATCCTTACTGAAGGAAGTAATAGAAAAACATCTAGAAACGGAAAACATAATAAAGAATAGTCAGCAAAAAGGATGGTCAGGCTTGACCAACCTCATTGAATTCTTTGAAGGGGTAACAGAAAGAGTAGACAAGGGGAATGCGGTAGATGTAGTATATTTAGATTTCCAAAAGGCGTTCGATAAGGTACCACATAATAGACTAATGAATAGGGTCAGAGCATGTGGAGTCGGTGAAAAATAGCAGAATGGATAGCAAGCTGCTACAAAACAGCAAACAGAGAGTAGGGGTAAAGGGCAGCTACTCAGACTGGCAGCGGATGGGCAGTGGTGTTCCACAAGGATCAGTACTGGGATCACTGTTGTTCACAATGTACATTAATGATTTGGACTCGGGAATCAGCCGTACAATTTCAAACTTTGCAGACAACACCAAATTGGGGGAGTAGTTATTACAGAGGAGGACTGCAGCAAATTACAGCAAGACATTAATAAACTTGCTGAGTGGGTATTTAAATGGCAAATGCAATTCAATGTATTAAAGTGTGAGGTGGTACATTTTGGTAGAAGGAATAAGGAAATCGCATACATCCTGGAAAATAAAAACCTTAAGTGAGGTAGAGGAGCAAAGGGATCTAGGGGTACACATACACAATCCACTAAAAGTAGGTTAATAAGGCCATAAAAAAGCAAACCAGGCACTGAGGTTTATTTCTAGAGGGATAGAAATGAAAAGCAGGGAAGTTGTGGTAAACTTCTATAGAACCTTGGTTAGACCACACTTAGATACTGTGCAGTTCTGGTCCCCACATTATAGAAGGGATGTAGAGACACTGGAGAGGGTGCAGAGGAGATTCACAAGGATGAGAAGTTATATCTATCAGGAAAGGCTGAACATGCTTCGAGTCTTCTCTTGAAAAGAGGAGGGTAAGAGGTGACCTGATAGAGGTCTTTAAAATGATGAAAGGTTTTGATAGGGTCGATACAGGGAAGATGTTTCCACTTGTGGGGGAGACCAAAACCAGGGGTCATCAATATAAAATAGTCACAATTAGATCAAATAGGGAAGTTAGAAGAAATTTCTTCACACAGAGAGTAGTGGGAATGTGGAACATGCTACCACAAGGAGTTATTGAGGCAAATAGCACAATGTATTTAAGGGGAAGTTAGATAGGTACATGAGGGAGAAAGGAATATAACAAGATTACATTTATATATTGCCTTTCACGTCGTGAATTGAAGGTTATGCTTGAAGGCTTAGTTGAGGAAGAGCAGGAGGAGGCTCATGTGGAGCATAAACAGCTGCATAGACCAGTTGGGCCCGAATGGCCTGTTTCAATGTCGTGTATTCTAATGAATTCTAATCCCTTAAATACAGAATGAATGAACTTTGTTGTAGTTGACCTTTCTTCTTACAGCACTATGTAGAAGACAGAGGGCTTGTAATTTTAAGCAGATCAGCATCAACTAGGAGAAAGATTTCCAAGAGAACTTCTCTCTGGGATTTCCAGTCCAGTCTTGTTTCCTGACAGTAAACAAACTATGTTTTTGTGTGATGTCATTCAGAATTAGACTCAGGAATTCCCTCCAGCAACTAATTACTCCACGCTGCTTGGAACAGCTTCAAAATCGTGTTCAACTTCCCAAGTAAAATCTAAATTCTTTCCATTTAATTTATCAGATAACATTATTCCATGTTGTTCACCAGGGCAACAAGGAGTTTAGCTTCTGCAACAAAACAAAGACAATACTTTGTTTAAATGAGACTAACTGTGTGGTCAGCATTAAAAACAGTGATCTATCTAAGGTACTTTTAAACAGTTAACAACTAAATTTCTCTTTAATGTTTCTACTGAAGCTGAATGGGTGGAGTGACAGAACATCTAACCTGGGGATATCTTGTTTTCTTTTGCTTTGTTTTTAAGGATGGCGGAAGCAGATTCAATAATAACTTTCAAAAGGGAATTGGATCATTTTTGATCCAATTGGTCACTTCAATCCACGTCTGTTTGTGGTACACTGCTGTGTGCAATTGTCTGCCATGTTTCACCAACAAATATACAGTCAATTCACTTTACAGTATATTCTGTGAAGTGCTTTGAGATGTCTAGAAGATGTGAAAAGTGCTATATGCAATGCTTATTATTTATATAGCACTAGCCCCTGCCTGCTCTGAGACACGACCCTTTGTGAAGGGCGCTATGTAAATGCAATTTTTTATTGTTGGTGCTTTGATTTACTCAGCTATGTTGTGTGTATATATATA